GTGTCCAGGCTGCCGTGGCCCGCCCCCGTGTGTCCAGGCTGCCGTGGCCCGCCCCCGTGTGTCCAGGCTGCCGCGGGACTTTGAGACTCCGGTCTCTGTCTCCGGGAGATAACGAGCCTGGGGTAGAGCCAAGACCAACAGCACAATCTCACTGGATGCCCTCCTTCACTCCTTCCCTGATGCTTCCCCTGAGCACCTGCTGTGTACCAGGAGGCCACGGATGTTCACGTCACCAGCAGCCCCAGGCGGCTCCGGACGCTCCAGGATGTGGCGCTAGGAGCACCGGCTTCGGAGTCAGATGGGTTTGAGGCTGGCTCTGTTGCTTGGACAACTCACTAATCTTTCTGATCTTCCATCTCCTCCTTCCACAACACAGGAACAATAGGGTTTATTATCATAAACCCTCAGAGGGTTTTTCAGGTAAAATGCTCCTTATTCGGCCTCAACTAATGTGATCGCTTAAGAAGTAACCATGGAAAAGGGAAGGGAGCTCCAGGCAGAAGGCCCAGCTCAGGCCGAGACACAGACAAGTAACAGGGCGTGGGACATTCTGGACATCACGTGACGGCCCCTCTGGGCGGCAGTGGGGGAGACGGAGACAGAGGGGAGGCCAGGGAGAAGGGGGGACACAGGGGTCGTGCCCCACAGCCCATGTCGCTGAGCCTGGGCCGCAGGGACGGAGGAGGGAGGCAGAGACAAGGAGGAGAAAGGGGTGACGGGGCCTGGGGCTGAGCTGGAGAGGCGTCGGCCTGGGCACAGCACAGGACGAGGTGGGAACGGGAGGACACTGCCCTCCGTGTGGCTTTATGTCCCACCCCAGCGTCCTGGCAGCTTTCCCAGGATGCTTGGTGCCCCAGACGAGGCAGGGAACACACGAGTGCAGGTGTGAACTGCCGGAGCCCTGGAAGTGACGAGGCATCCCAGTGCCTCAGTGTGCCATCTGTAAAATGGCCTCGTGCTGCGGGTCCCATCACCCCACAGGCCCCACAGGCCCCAGAGAAGCCTCACCCCTCTACCAAGTGCCTTCCGGACCCCCACAGCAGCCCAAGAGTGGGGAAACTGGCCCAGAGGAGATGAGGCCGCTGGCCTATAGCCACCCAGAGCCCCAGGAGCTCGGCCAGAGCTGGATCCTGGCCTGCTGGGCCGCCTAGGTCCCAAGCCCTGGGTTCTTCACTGAGACACTGAGCTCTGGGGCTCAGAACTGCCCGAGCGCTTGCCTGCCAAGAGCCCCCTGACCTGGGCCAGGGGCCCACGGCTCCCGGAGACCCCTCACCTGTCCTGGTCGTTGCACAGATCCTGGAGGCAGGGAAGCTGAAGCCCATGCACCACACGGGCCTCGAACAGAAACTTGGGGGCCCAGAAGCCCAGTGCTCCAGTCACAAAGGCTATGGCGGTCACCCCAAGGGTCGACCACACAAAACTCCAGCTGCAAGAGAAAGTGTCCTGGCTGAGACCCCCGGGAGAGGGCTGGGGCTGCAGGGCCTGGCGGCTCCTGTCAGGCCCTGCCCCCACGCCTGCACACTCTGGTCACCCAGGTGCTCAGAGGGCTCCAGGCTCCGGATCCTCGCTGACATTGCCCAGGAGCCCTGCACACCCCACTCCACACTTTGCTTCTCGCTGGGCCTTCCTCCCTCCTCTCTGCAGAGCCAGCTCTCCCCATCCCAGAAGGCCCAAAGCCAACAGCACATTCTCCCGGGAGCTGTCCCCTCTGCCCCCACCTTCCTCCAAGTGCCCTCCACCGGTCGCATGGCTCTGTATCAAAGAGAGCTGGGTCCCGTCCGCGCCCCACATTCCAGTAAATCATGAGGCCTGGGAGTGCAGTTGACTCCTGTCTGCCCCCCACCCATGCCTGGGACAGAGGATGGACGCACTCCCACAGGCTTGCAGAGGTGAGTGATTAACTCCCAGCATCCTCCTGGCAACCCTGGGAGAATTACGTCCATTGAATAAATGAGGGGAGTACGATTCCAAGTCTCAGGTCACTCGGAGGTAAGGCAGTGGCCAAGCCAGAGTCAAAACTCACACTGCCTCCCCCTTCCCTCCCTCCCAGCCCCCATCCTGTTGCATGGCAAGGCGAGAAGGGGGCCTCCAGTGAGGCAGGGGCACCTCCGTTGGTGAGTGGGAGCTCAGAGGAGGAAGAAGACTATGAACACTGGGGCTCCCTGGAGGCAGAGAGAGGCAGGGCAGGGCTGCTGGGGCGGACGGGGTTCTCAGGGAGGAGCAGGGACACTCACTTTCTCCCCAGGTACCTGACATCCTCACACCAGCTGCTCCTCAGGTCCCCCACGGCCACCTCTTCCTGCTTCTCAGCAGCTCCCCGGGGCGGGTCTGGAACCAGCGCGATAAGCAGGGTCAAGGCCACGGCTTCCAGGCAAGGCAAGACCTGAGCATGGGAGGGCCCAGGAAGCTCAGGACCACACATACATGCCCAGGACCCAGGAGATCCTGCCGGTGATGAGCCATGTGGCCCAGTGTCTGGGAGGATCTGTGCCCTGGGGGTGGGGCAGGGGGCTCATTTCTTGGCTGCGCCCTCTCCCCTAGGAGTACAGCCTCTCTGGGGAGTAGGGTCCCCTTGGGACTTCCTTTAATGTGTGCAATAGACACTACTGCCCTGGGGCCCATGAGCCCGGCCAGAAGGACTCACCACCCCTACCCGCCAGGCCCGTTCTACCCTGGGCTGCTCCCACCCTTGTCTGTCCCTCCCCGAGATTCCATGATGCAGCCGGGACCACCCCACCCATGTTACAAGCCACTTGCTTGAGCTCACACCACTAGCAAACCCAGCAGCCAGCATCTGAACCCAGGGCCATGACCTCCACAGTCATGTTCCATCCAATTTCTGAGCTGCCAATGTCTGACACCCCCCATGGCGCCAGTGACTGTGCCAAGTGGCTAAGGCCACTGGAGGCTGGAAAGTCCCTGCTGGCCCAGGGGGATCGGAGGGAAGAAGGGGCTGGACTCACTCGGAAGGCCCAATGCCAGTTCCCAGTTAGCTGCAGCACGGCTGACCCCAGCACGTAGCCCAGGCCGCTGCAACAGAGGGGCAAGGGGGATGGCGGGTAAGGGTGGGGGGCAGGTCCAAGGTTGCCAGGCCAGCCTGTGCTGGGGCACCCCACCCCAGGGAGCTGGCTTCCTGCTACTCACAGCCCTGCCACGGAAAAAGTGAGCCACGTGAGGCCCAGATGTCCACTGCCCTTGGTCAGATCACTGGTGACCTCTGGCTCCAGGCCTGTCCCCTGCACCACTGCCCAGTGCCGCCCTATCTGAGGACCCAGGGCTCAGCCCTGCCTGAGTCAGGCGGTTCCAGGAAACCTGGATCAGAGCTCAGAGGTTGGATTGCAAATCCCACTCTGACCTACCCACACACCCTGCCCCGGGGGGTGCCTGGCCCAGCCCCACACACTCCCCAAGCAGGCCTTCCCAAGTGCCCTAGGGTAGAAGGAGCACCTGTATTATCTCTAACCCTAACACAGCCCATTGGCCAGTGTTCTCAGCCCCCTGTACAGACGAGGAAACTGAGGCCCAGGGAGGTAAAGGGACACGGCAGGGAAGGAGGAGGGCTGGGATTCAAATCCCATCCCCAGTCCAGCTTCGGTCCCCAGACTGTGGGCCTCAGTCTACCAGCTAGGGAAGTGGGTCCTGGGTGGTACCGACCTTCCAACAGGGATGAAGATGTAGAAGATGGCCAGCACTCGGGTCCGCTGGTCCCTCACAAAGAGGTCGCCCAGGACGGTGGGCGCGATGGTGGAGTAGCTGGCAGAGCCTATGCCCACGACTCCCCGGGACAGGAAGAAGAGCCAAGAATGCTGACACAGAAGCCAGTGAGTCTGGGATCACCCACAGGGCAAGGGACCGGAGTGATGACACGTGCCCCCGGGGAGGAGGAGGGGATGGGGCTGAAGACCCCTGGCTGGCCTCCCAGCCCGCGTTCCCCGCCCCCCCCCCCGCCCCCACATCGCATGGGTGCCCCCTGCTGGTGCTTGCAGATACCAGGGGCCCCGGGGCCCAGGGGAAGTCTTTTTCTGGGCTTCACCTTTGCCAGGCCCGCGGGTGCCCCAGACAGAAGCAGTCACAGGCAGCAGTGGGAGGTGCAGGAGAGGAAACATCTAAGGGGGTGCTCTCTAGGCCCCGGGAGGCACCCCTGCAGCCAGCCTGGAGCCCAGAATGTATGGAGGCCGGCCCATCTGCTTTCCAAGGGAGGAAGCAGGTGGCGGCAGGACCCCAGGGGCCTTGCAGGGATGAGGGGACCTACCTGGGGGGAGATGAAGGAGCTGGAGAGGCCTGCCCCCGACCAGAGCAGGATCCCAACACTCAGCGTGGCTTTCCGGCCATGCCGGTCGCCCAGGTAGCCAAACACAGGTGCAGACAGCAGCAGGCTGCAGATGAAGACTGAGGGGGAAAGGCAGGTGTCACGTGCATCCCCCACTGTGGCGGATAGGCGCACGGGCCCGCAGGCCCCCAGAAGGGACCTGGCTCAGATGCCACAAGCTGGCACCTGCAGTGGGTGGGGGCCAGGAGGAGGAAAGGATACGGTGAAGCCTCCATCCCCGCCTAACACATAACCCAACGCCCAGAGTCAGGGGCACTGGAGGGGGAGTGGAGGGGCTGGGCTCGCTCCCCTCCGAGCAGCCCCCCAAGCGCCTGGGAGGCTGAGCCCCAAGTGAAGGTGGAGCCCGTCCTGGAGCAGCACAGGGAGCCCCCAGCGCTCCCCACCAGGACCCTGTCTTTGCACAACTCCCCCCCTCCTCGCGCCTGGCCAGGCTGGCCTGACTCGGCTCTCACACCCCTGCTGGGGGCGGGGGTGGCGGGGGTGGCGGGAGGCGAGGGAGGTCTGCCCGGGCCTGCTCTGCGGACCAGCAGGGTTTAGAAGGAGCGGTCGTTCCCGGAGGCTGGAAAAGCCCTGGTTTTCCGAAGTAGGTAGACCATTCCCCTGACACTGTCGGTTGTATTTGTACCATTTTTTTAAAGTAAACCCTTCTGAATTGGCGACTGGATTAGTGAATACATCTGCTACCCTGCGAGGACAAAGAAACGGCCACGCTTTTGCACGACTCTGCCGTGCGCATAGGTACCCTCGCGGCCCCGAACCGCCTCCACCCTCCGCGGGTGGAGCGAGGCGACCTGCACCCGCCTCCACCGGAGGCCCCGCCCCACCCCTGGGCCTCCATTCGCTGAGCACAGATGATTGACATAGCCCCAGCCTAATGAGCGTCCAGACTCGTCCCAGCTCAGGTTCCAGCCCCTCCCCCCCCCCCCCCCCCGACCTGCTCTAGTATTAGGCCGAGCCGTATGCAGTCGCAGAAATTAGGCCAGTTTTGACCTACAAAAAAACGGCAATTTTTTATTGGTTATATGGTTCGACCTAATACTCCACAGAGAATGGTCTTTGGTGTCAGTGGCATTTAGAATTTTAATAGCTACTGCCAAAATAGGCCTCCAAAAAGGCTGTATCCATTTACACGGGCACAGAAGTTCATGCTCCCTTGCTGACATTTGATAGGATCAATCATATTGTTTTTGTTCATTTAACGGTTGAAAAGCAGACGGTGTCTCGCTGATGTTTTAACCTGCATCGTGCTTATGTGCAGTGAGTCTGAGCAGCTTCCTCTGCCCATTTTTCTATGGGGCTCCCTGTGGTTTGCAAATCATGTCTCCCAGTCCTTTATATTTGTTTTAAGGACTTACAATGCAAATTCTGGGGCTGAACTACCTGGGCTCACATGCTGAACCAAAGACTGCCTAGCTGTGTGACCTTGGGCAAATTCCTTAACTCTTCTGTTCCCCTCGAATCAATGATAGGAGATAGTAATTGTGCCTCCCACAGAAGGTTATGGAGATTTTAAATGAAATAAAGCATATAAAAGGCAGTGCCTACCTTTATGTAAATGCCTCATAAATGTTATCCATTGTTGTTACTAACTGCGTTTATAGTTTCAACCACCATCATATAGAAGAGTTTAGCTTCCTGTACTCAAATGTATCAATCTTCCTCCCTCCAGGATTGTTTCCTGTTTAAGGCATATCTTCTCTACCCAAAGCTTATAAAAAATATTTCCCTACATCCTCTAATCCTTTTATGAGATTTGGGGTAGGGATCCCTTATAGGATATAAACAACCTCACCCCGCAGATGGCCTGAGACGGAGAAGCCTGCCCCCAGGGGGAAGGCACCCTCCTGCAGGTGCGCTCCTCCGCTCCTAGCAGCTCCAGATTCAGATGACTTCGGAGACAAAGGGGAAGGAATGAAGGAGCAGGGCGTGAAGAGAAGGACCCTACAGGTGGCTGCCCAGATTCGAATCCCAGCTGTGTGGCCTTCAGCAAGCCCATAGCCTCTCTGCGCCCCAGGTTTGTCCTGGGGAAAATGGGCACAATAATAATAATCATCCCTGCCCTGTGGGGTTGTTGTGAAGGGTAAATGAGCTGATATTACAGGGTACTTGAGACAGTGTCTGGTCCACGGTAAAGGCCACATCAGTGTGGTTTTTAAATATTATCCCTCAGGAGACCAACCCCAGGAGCCTCTGTCCCATTGGAAGGGAAGGGTCTGCTCCAGCCTACAACTCAGCCACGCCCTCTCAGTCAGGGGCTTCTTCCACTCTGAGCCCTGTGGACAAACAGCAGGGTGGGGCTTGGGGCCACTGCACCGCCACCCGGGAAGGTGAAGATCCACCCGAGGTCACTGGAGAGAGAGCCTGGTCATCAGGCCTCCAACCCCTGGCACCCTCCACATACCTCTCTGGGCTGCTTCACACACCATGCACAGCCCCAGGACACGCTTGCACACACGTGCGCATGCTTCTCTCTCCATGGCATCTCACTTATGGAGACCTTGTAGTAATAATCCTGCTCACCAAGGTTAGGACAAGGGAAGGCAGATCGTGACTCAACCACCATTACCTGTTTAATCTAGAAGGTTGTGGGGACTGAGCCCAGAGGGTCTTGCTCTGGCTCCTCGAAGGTCAGCAGCCACTGCAGGCCTCAGCCTCGAGACGAGCGGTTGGAAAAGACACATGGTCTAAGGCAGAGGTCTGCGGGCTCTTTGCCCCAGTGCTTCAAGAAAGAAGCTTATCAACCCACATACCCCTTCATGTGTTTTCAGCCGACATTTAAAATGTTTTCATCGTAAGTTTAAATAGTTGCAAAGGATATGATTTCTATCATTATTGTATTTTTTAAGTATATTTTTATCCAGATCCTTGGGGCTGCCGATCACATTCATTCAATTGATGGGAAATGTCTGCCGTCTATGGACATTTGCTCCAACAAGTAAAACCAGTCCTTATTTGCCAAATCAATCCAACAAATCGGACTGATTGCCTGTAAGGAAGATGTTAAAATGTTGGCTTCATTTTTTCTAATTGAAATGAATGTGTTGACACCCATCCGTGAGACAACATCTCACTTCTAAATTCTAAATCGTAGACTATCACACCAGCAGGACAGCCAGATAAGGCTGGGCACTTTGCCACGGACTTGTGGCCTGGAGGAAACATCCCGAGCTTCTATGTCATTCTCTCTGCCTGGTTTGCACGGCCTCCCCTGCAGAAGCCAAGCATCTGTGGGAGTCCCCTCTGCCTGGCACCCTGGAGGCTTTCCCACTCCAGGGCAGGGCACCAAAGCTAAACTCAGAATAGGGAAGACAGACATTTTCCTTCTTGAAGGGGAGGCAGGGAGGAAGAACAAGACTTTTCCTCAAGCAGGTCCATTTTAGGAAAGAAAAACACAGGCTTGAGGGTCTGTAGTGGATTCTCTCAAAAGTCTGCTCACGTGGTCCCTAGAAATTTTTTGTGTATCCCTAGGGGTCCCCGCAGAAACTTGTTCTGAGGTGTTGGGGTAGCGGACTGTTAGGGGAGGGGGCCCACAGGGAGGAGCGACACGTGTGCTAGTTACATGTTGAGTGTGTACCCTGTGCCATGACAGTGCATGCACACGTGTGTGTGTGTGTGACCTTGGAGGTGTGGCTGCTCCTCGCCCCTGGACTGACTGCGGGCCCTGTGGGCCCAGACCCCGTGTGAACCCATGTGGGAAGTACACATCTCTGTCTGTCTGTGTTCTGTGGGCCAGATTTTTCAGGGAAAGCCCACAGCAGGATTTCTCAGCCCCAGCAAGCGTCGGGCGCCCAGCTGAGCCGATAGGGTTGAGTGACCGCTCATCACGATCTGAAGCTCAGGAGCCTTTCTAGCCCCACGCCCCCTGCTGCTTTGCAGCACCTGCGCTCAAACCCGAAATGGCTGCTCAGACACCCGGGCTCAGCCCACAGGCTCCCCTCCTCCCACACCCACACTGGCCCTCGCAGGGGACCGGTGGGGCTCGGCCTGACCCCCTGCCCCAGCACGAGCCCTGGGCCCCAGCTCCAGAGCAGGGACTCGCTCCTTACCTGTCTGAAGCAAACCAGCATTGCTATCACTGATCTGAAAAAAATTCTGTATGTCCAGCAGCATCCCTGCGGACAGAAGGACAGCACTCAGGACATGGGAAGTGGCCTCCTGGGCCTCTAAGGGCAGTTACCCCCGCCTGTGGGACAGGGCCCCAGCTGACCAGCACAGCACGGAGTGTGTCTCTGGGTCCCACTGCTCTCGTTCCCTCTCCGCCACGCCACGCATATGCAAGCGCATACGCGCACAGAGACACGGGTACCCATCAACACAGGAACACATACCCCAGAGGCCCAAACGTTCGCCCATGTTCATACACAAGCATCCACCCCGGCACACAGACTCACAGACGTGCGGACAAACGGGCACGCCCAGAGAAACGTGCCCGCAGAGGCACACACACACGCACACGGAGTCTGCACGCCACAGGCCTGCTCGCATGTGCACGTGTGCGGGGTTGCTGTACACACCCTCGTCAGAGCGACCGGCAGCTCCGAGTTGCTACACGGTGCACAGCTCCCTTAGACTACAGTGTTAATGACTACACAGCCCTGCAGCCCAGGCACCAGCTCCAGACATTCGCGGATGTACATCCATGCGCGAGCATGGACATACAAAGACACGCATGCCCTGGGCTGCACACACGCACACAAGCACGTTCTTCCAGAGGCATGAGCAGACAGATGGTGCCCGTGAGAGCTTCAGAGACAGGTCCCACTTGGGTCCCAACTCCCTGAGGGGGGCAGGCTCTTTCTGCACGCCAGCCGGGCTTTGGGAGCCCCTCCAAGGTCTTCCTGGGCCACAGGCCAATGCAGTGGGCACTCAGCCTAACACAGAGAGAGGAAACAGGCCCAATTCCCCGAAATCCCCTCAGTCTTTGGCAGCACTTCAGCAAGCGTTAGTCAGAGTGGAGGCACCTGCTTATCTGAGCTGGGAGGCTCAGGCCCCATCATTAGGAAGAAGAGCAGCCATTGCTGTCATTCAGTTATGAGCCGGCGGAGGGCCCAGCCCCTGAGCGGGGCCCTGCAGGTGTCCCCCTAAGAGGTGGGGGAGCATCCGCGACCCCAGAGGCAGCCCCCTCCCACCCCTCTGAGCCCCGCCAGCAGGCGGAGGAAGGCCCAAGAAGCAGAGAAGCCCCATATGAGATTTTCGTTCAGACATTTGCTTTGGGCCCGAATATCACAGCATGCAGCCATACAGCCTGTATGTCTTTCCTTCCTTTTTAATATTTTTAATTACACGAATAAGACGTATTCGTTGGAGAGAAAAAACAGAAACACTAATAAGCAAGCAAAGAGTTAAAAATTCTGTAGCATCCCACCCACCCTTCATCCTTAGCAGTGAGGACTCACTCCTGGTTTTATCTGCTCCCGGCCTCCTCCCAGCCCTCTGGGGCCTTGAGTGGACCCCGCATCCTTCCTCCCCCCACTGCCCCACGTCATCTGCCCCCATAGAGCCACTTCCCACAAGAGCATGTGAAAACCACCTGCCCCCAGCCGTCCTGGCCGTTCACTCTGCGTGGTTTCACTTCTCCTGGCCTCCTTCATCCAAGCCAGCAACCTTGGCCTTGCTTCCCATCCAGCCAGAGGAAGTCCCAACAGGGAAGGGCCTCCACTGGCCGGACTCGGGGGGGAGCTCCCCAGCCTGCAGGGCTCCAGATGCTCCCCCACCCCACACACACCCTGCCTCTCTGCCTCTTCCCCGCTCAGCTCCGGCCCTCGGCCCACACAACCGCACACCCACCTGGGCCTCCACCTAACCCCCTGCAGTAGCCCCGGAGCCGGATGCCCCCCATCTTGTTCGGCCTGCACCCATCTCACTCTAGCCCCCACCCCAAAAATTGTCTGTGGCTCACATTGCCTCAACAGAAAGCCAAGCTCCCAGCCTGGCAACCACAGAGCCTGTGATCTGGCCCTGAAGACCCTTTTAGAAGAGTTCCCTGCCGTCCCACCTCTGGTCACCCCTGCCCAGAGCACAACCCCCCACTCTGTGTGCCCACACCGACCCCTCACCCAACACCCTCACCTCACTCCACTTCCTGCCTCGCCAACTTTCTCAGCTTCAAGACCCAACCCAGATGCCCCCTCTTCTGAGTTCGGCCAGAACCCTCAGTCGCCGTCCTGGGACCCCCCCCCGCGAAGGTCCAGCCTGCTCTGGTCTGTGTGTGCCCTCTGAGCTCCCCGGAGATGGACTCGCGTCTGCACACGTCTGCAGATCGGATCCTGTTCACCGCACAGCCGCTGCCTGGTGGGGGGCTGAGCCCGTCTCTGGTGCACCAGGGTCCTGCCTCAGGGCCGCTGCAGGTGCCCCCTGACCCCCAACCCAGCCCCAGCCTGGGCTTCCCTCTGCCCCACGACATGGGCATTCCTGAGCTCCAGAACCACCAGACAGACCCTCCCTGGGTCTCCAAGCCCCGTAGTTCACGTTCAGTCAGTCAGTCTTAAATGAATCAGTGATGAAGAGAAAAGAGAGTTAAATCTGGAATGAATAAAGGAATGAATGAGTTAAAGGAATGTGTGAGTAACGAGAAGAGCAGGTTGAGCCCTGGGGCCTCCAGGAAGGAAGTCAAAATGTGCAAGGCTTGCGCACAGCCCCCACTGTCCCAGAAGCACCCAGCAAGCTATTTCTGGGCCCGGCTGCCCTGCCCTCCACAACCTCACTCAGCATTCCACCCAGAACCTCCAGGCCTTCGCCCGAAGGCCCTCACTGCGGTCCTCGCCCCCCGACCGCTACCACGCACCCACACCTGTGTGCACAGGCCTAGGTTGGGGCTGGATTGGGAACGCAATGCCCCCCACCTCGGGCTTGGCTGAAACTCCCTCCAGGGGGGAGAACGGCAGGGAGGTACTCCACAAGAAGAGAGTTTGCAAGGCGGAGGGCACTGTGGATGCACCGTGCCGGCTGGAGGCCTGGCAACCATGAGTGGCAAGCAGGTGCTTCCCAGGGCGCTGCCCGCTGTCGCCTCCTCACCTGCAACGATGAACCAGTTCATGTAGTTCAGGAGGTTGATGTAGCAGAGCACCGCGGCGGCCAGGCAAGCCCTCCAGTGGGGCAGGCTCCAGGGGGCGGACGCGGTCCCAGGGGGGCACGGACCTGCGCCTGAGGCCCCAGGGTGCCCGCCCGGCCCGGTATCCCAGCCCTCCGCCGACATGGCCCCAGCCTCACCAGCCTGAGCTCCTGACCCAGGATGGCTGCCGGGACAGAGGCACATCGGCTCTGCACCGAGTCACTTCCTGTGGGTTCCCGGCCTCCCGACCTCAAAGTAGCTGCCCTAACTGCTGAACATCTTATCGCAGGTTCCTCCTGAGCCCACTGCAGGCTGGCCCTCAAGGTTTCACCACCCCAGGCTCTGAAGCCTGCTGGGGGCCTACCCTGGGTGACAGGACATGATGTGTCCCCCCAAACCTCGCCTGCGGCTTCAGTGGCTACAACAAGGAAGAGAAGCTTCATGAGATGGGAAATGAGATGAGTCTCCGGAGCCCTGCTCTCCAAAAGAGGGTCTGGCTGCCCGCACAAGAGACGGGCTGTGAGTGCAGGATGTGAGCTGGGCCAGATCCGGAAGGCTGGGTGTGGCCGGGAGAGTAGCACCCAAGTGTGAGCGACGCCAGCACCTTTTCCGCTCCAGTGCCCCACCTGGGGAGGCAGGGGTGGTGGAGGGGCTGCCCCCGGGAGGACAACGGACTCAAAATCCAGGGGGAGGGGCAAGATATTGGCACGGTCTCAAAGTGTCTCTTTACAGAATGTTTACTGGTAGCGGGGGTGGGGGGAAGTAACCCTACAGTAGAAGAATCAGGCAATGTCTAGACCAAGGATTAAAGTAACACCACTGCCAAGAGCAGAGGGCATTGTGCGTCCCCCACCCCCACCCCCCGGGGGCCCTGAGCCGGCCACATGTCACCTAGGCAGGGTTCCAATCAGGAATGCATGACCCGGATCTAACGAGGAAACATCAGACACACCCAAATTGAGGGACACTGTTTTTTTTTAATAGACTATGTTCTAGAGAAGTTTAAGGTTCACAGCAAAATTTAGCAAAAGGTTGATTTTCTGTAATCCTCTGCCCCCACACACACATAGTCTCCCCCATTATCAACACCCCTACCAGAGGGGGACGTTTGTGACAACTGAACCTACACCCACACATCATTGTCACCCAAGTCCATCGCTTACATTAGGGTTCACTCTTGATGTTGCACATTCTGGGGTTTAGACAAGTGTATGATGTGTATCCACCTCGATGGTATCACGCGGGGAAGTTTCCTTGCCTTAAAAGTCCTCTGTGAGCTGCCTGCCTCCCTGCCCACCCCTGGCAACCACTGTTTTTACCATCTCCATAGTTGTGCCATTTCCAGGAAGCCATAGAGTCAGAATCACACAGTATGGAGCCTTTTCAGACTGGCTTGTTCACTCAGCAATATGCATTTAAGGTGCTTCCATGTCTTTTCATGGCTTGGTAAAGTCATTCTTTTTCATGCTGAATAATATTCCATTGTCTGGATGGACCACACTTTATTTATCCATTCATCTACTGAAGGACATGTTGGTTGATTGCAAATTTTAGCAATTATAAATAAAGCTGTCAAAATCATCTGTGTGCAAGTTTTTGTGTGCACTCAAGTTTCAACTCCCTTGAGTAAATACCAAGGATTGCAATTGCTAGATTGTACAGTAAGAGTATGGAACACTGTCTTTTTAAAAGGTACTCTATTTTTTATTTATTTACTTAAGAGAGAGTGTGCACATGGGGGGAGGAACAAAGGGAGAGAGAATCTCAAGCAGACTTGCCGCTGAGCGTGGAGCCCTACGAGGGACTCGATCCCACGACCCTGAGATCATGACCTGAGCTGAAGTCGCGAGTTGGACGCTTAGCCGGCTAAACCACCCAGAGGCCCCTTAAAGGAACTGTATTACGCAAAAATGTCAAAGTCATAAAAGACTAAGGAAGACTGAGGGATTATTTCAGAATAAAGGAGATGAAGAGCTGTGATAATTTAGTGCAACCTGGACCCCAGACTGGAGGGAAACGCGTGCTATTGGGTCAACTGATAAGACTGGAATGCAGACTGTAGACCAGGAAGACATACACCAGCATCGCTCGTACTAGAGTTGATGACGGTGCTGTGGTTGCGTAGATGAAGCCCTTGTACTGAAGTATTTAAGTGTAATAGACACCGTACGTGCAACTGACCCTAAGTGGTTCGTGGAAAAGAAAGTAGAAATAGTGCGAGAGCAAATGGGGCAATACATGAAGGGTAGTGAGTTTGGGTAAAGATTTTGTGTGGGTTTCTCTCCGGACCATATTATAATTTTTCTGTAAGTTGAAAATGAATTCAAAATAAAAAAACAAAGCACAAAATGACAAACAACCCAATTAAAAACAGGCAGCGGACTTGAATAGACATTACTGCAAAGATGTCCAAACGGCCAACATGCACGTGAAGAGACGCTCACTATCACCCGTCGCTAAGGAAAGGCGGATCAAACCACAACGAAGATGGATGTCATTTGAGCAGCTAGCAGGTGGGCTCTGTGTTGGCTTTACCTCTGTTCTTACTGGAATCGTATAACAGAAGATGCTTTGCCACTTAAAAAAATAACACAATGAGAAACCAGTTCATATGCACTAAGATGACTAGAATTAAAATTGTTTTCATTAAAAATAATAATAATAACAAGTCTGGTGAGGATGTGTGGAGAAATTGAAACCCTCATACATTGCTGGTGGGAATGGAAAAGGGTTTGGCATCTGTGGAAAACAGTGTAGTGGTTCTCCAAAAGGTCAAACTTAGAATTACACCATGACCAGCAATTTCCCTCCTGGGTGTATACCCAGAAGGGCTGAAAACAGGGACCGAAGCAAATACTTGCCCACAAAGGTCCATAGGAGCACACTATTTGCCGTCGCCCAAAGGTGGAAACAGCCCAAAAGCCCATCAGCTGATAGACAGGCAAAGCAGGGTAGCCTTCTCGGGTCCCCTCCCTCTTCGGGAGTTTTGTACTCTATCCTTCAGTAAACTTTACTACTGCTCAATAAACTTTGCTGCCCATCAAAAAACAGGCAAAAAACAGGCAAAGCAAATGCGGGCTGTGCATGCAACGGAACACCATCCAGGCACAGAAAGGGATGGGGTCCTGATCCATGCTACCACGCGCTCGAGACATCATGCTAAGTGACAAAAGTCACACGCAAGGGGCCACACACTGTATGACTCCATTTATACAAAATATCCCGGATAGTTAAGTCCATCGAAACAGAAAGCAAACTCATGGTTGCCAGGGGCCGGGAGGAGCAGGAAATTCTCTGTGAGTTTGGGGTCTCCCCTGGGGCAATGGGATATTTTGGAACTGGAGAGAGGTGATGGTGTCACAACACTGTGAAAGTACCAAATGCCACTGGGCTATATGCTCTGAAATGTTTAAAATCTTACTTTATGTGAATTTCATCGCGACTTTTTAAAAGAGCTAAAGCAAACCAAGAAAAAGCCAGTCTGGAGACATGTCGAGAACATGAGCTTTGCTGGCTGACCAGCCAGGGTTCAAATTCCAATTTTGCTTCTTCCGAGCTACATGCTTAGTGCAAGTCCACAACCTCGCTGGGTCTCGGGGTCCTCACCAGCGATAGTTGTGCGGATGAACTGAGTCAAGTGCGTGTAGCTTTCCCTTGCTGGCCCGAGCGGGGTTCGCAGGAAGCATCTGAGGAGGGAGAGGCTGGCCTTCATTACCGCTGTAAGGGTGACGCTCACCACCTGCCCCGTGCGGGTGGTCTTGGCAAAGCAAAGGGAAGCTCAGCATCAGGCCCTCAAGCAAGAGCACGCGCAGCTCCAAGGCTGAGGGCCTGTGCGTGGGGGTAGGTCACCAGGCATTCCTCCGATCTCCACAACTCGGGCTCCTCACCCGTAAAACGGGGTAATAATAGAACACGCCCCCTACTTCTGTGGCTGTGTTGTGGTTGTTGTGCCATAAAAAAGATCATGTTTGAAAAATGCCCAGAACTTTGCCTGGTATTGAGGAAGTGCTCGCTCGGGGTTTCCCCGGTCTGGGACTTTGGGGCAGTTTCCCCGGCTGGGACTTCAACCCTGGGCCTGCCCTCGGATGCATGATAAGCAGAGCTGCAACCTCACGTAGAGTGCGTGGGTACAGCCCGCAAGCGTGATGTGGGTGCACACATCCTGCCAATGACGCGAGAGCTTTGCACGTTATGAGCATGAGACCGAGCTGCTCCCAGTCACCCCGCTCCAGGGTGTGGCCCTCACTACGCCAGGCAGAACACCACCCCACCCCGGCCTTCGGAGCTCCTGGGATGGGTCTAGTCAGGGAGGCTGGGCATCAGCCGGGAGGGCAGAGCGCAGCCTCCGACCAAGGACACGGGATGCATCCCCCGGCGGAGAGGTTCTGGAGGAGGAGGCCGTGGCAACAAAGCCAGGGGTGGGGCCAGCAGGGCAACACAGTCTCGGATGCTCGGGTAAGGAGCCTGGGTCCCAACACTGCGAGGTGTCAGCAGGATGTGTCCCTCTCTGGGCCTCAGCCTCCCTATTTGAACACTGGGGGTCAGGGTGATGGAGCGCTTAGAAGGCCCTAGAAGGTCTGCTTAGCTTCCCGGTTGGTGCACATGCCTATCTCTCGGCTGGGAGGTGGACTCCTTGAGGGGTCCAGGGAGCAGACCCGGTCATTTCTCCAGGGATCACCAGGCAGATGCTGCTACCTTCAGGCCTTGCAGGCAGAAGCCAGGACCCAAAAGTCCTGCTTCTCAAGAACAGAAACATTTCCACATGCACATGGACAGGAAACACTGCTTTCAATGGGTGGGAAAGAAAACTCTGTGCCTGATCTGGAGCCCCCAGTCCCAGGAAGGGGCTGGATCGCCCCCGAGCCGGCTGCAGATCCTCCATGGTGTGGCAGCCCCCTCCCAGCCACCGCAAGAGCCAGGGTGTCCGGCCTGCAGTATCTGCAGGCTCTGCAGAGCAAGGTCTAACATGCTCAAAATCACTTTCCCTGAAAAGTCCACGGGCGTACACCCAGAAGTCCTGCAAGAAGGGCCTCGAGCAAATGCCCGCACACCCATGTTCCAAAGCAGCACTATTCACAACAGCTGAAAGGCAGAAACAGCCCATATGTCCATCAACAAGTGAATGGATAAGAAGAATGTGGCCCATCCGTACCGTGGAATAGCATTCAGCCCTGAAAAGGAAGGGCGTTCTGACACCCGCTGCAGCGTGGATGAACCTGTGGGACATGCTGAGTGACACAGGCTGGTCCCAGAGGGCAAGTTCTGTGTGGTCCCACTCAGATGAGGAACCTGGAGCGGCCAGATGTGTAGAGACAGAGTGGACGGAGGTGCCAGGGGGCTGGGGGGCTGGGAGTCAGTGTGGAATGGGGACAGAGTGTCCGTTTGGGAAGATGGAAGGTCCTGGAGACAGACCGCGGTGCTGGTTGCACAAGGGGAATGTGCTCGGTGCCCCAGAACCAAACACGTACAGACAGTGAAGATGGTACATTTTGTGTGATGTGTATTTTACCACAATTAAAAAGAGCAAATGGGGTGATCACACTGTCAAGAAAGGAGCAACTTTCTGGGCTCCAGGTTCCAGGGCACTGGTCGTAAAT